CTGGCTGGCATCAGAAGAAATGGCATCTGGAGAACTGAACCTTTAACTGGTGGGATCTGCACTGACTCCTGTAGTGTTAATCTATGGGTGATTAATATCAGAGTTGAATTGAGTATACCCAGCTGTGGTAGAAATGGAACAGTTTATTCTTTATCCAAATAGCAAAATTCTGAATTAGTGTTCTGTATTTCAAATAAGAGACCAACTCTTTTTATATATTAAGATATGCAACTCTATTCAGGGGGGTTCTAGAGCATAAGGAAAAAATTCCGAGTGATGAATGATGATTTTAATTTTTTACTCTTTGTGAAACTGTGCAACTCAGATTGGGACTTGAACCCATGGGCCAGGGCTTGAACCCAGCCAAAACCCAGACTGGGACTCGAACCCACAGTCTTTTAACTGAGATCACACACCTGGTCTCAGGACTTAATGAAGCTCAGGTTCTTGATGTCTCATTGCAGAAAGAATTCAGGGAGAGACAAAGTGAAAGGTAAGAAGTGGATTTATTTAGAGAGAAACACAATCCACAGAGTGTGGGCCAACTCAGAAGGTGAGAAAGGCACCAGGGTATGAGGCTGTCAGTTTTCATAGGGGTGGGTAATTCCATAGGCTAATGAGCGGGAGGAGTATTCCAGCTATTTCAGGAAGGGGCGGGGATTTCCAGAAATTGGGCCACCATCCACTTTTTGACCTTTATGGTCAGCCTTGGAACGGTCATGGCGCCTGTAGGTGTGTCATTTAGCTTGCTGATGTGTTAAAATGAGCGTATCCTGAGGCTTAAGGTCTAGTGGAAGTCAACTAGTCTGCCATCTTGGACCTATTTGGTTCTAATCAGTTTATGTCATGTCCTCAGGCTTTGTCATTCTTTTAAAGGTTGTGCCCTGCACCCTTCCCTCCTGTTTCACTTGGGTCTTTCTGGAATTGTTAAAAAAATAGCACTGATACATTTTCATGTACATTTATTAAACTGCAGGAGAACAATAGCATGTCATTACAACACAGGACTTCATTATCTTTTGCAAGTATTATAGACTACTTATTTTCTCTACAGTGGCAGGAAAAGAATGGGGGCCAATATCTTCCCTTGTAACATCCATGGCTTCAAAAGCAATATGCATATTCCATGTCAGTGTAAAAAAGAAAAAAATTCCAACACTCATGTTTTACAGTAAGAAGAAAAGTACTAAACTATTCATGAGACAACCCATTTTTCTACACAGTATTCTTCTGGGGTGGTAATAGATAAACAAGCTAAGACAAACATGCAAAAGTACAAAGTTGCCAGAGAACAGGAAAAGACCTGAGAAAAATGAACTCTTCAAGTATTTTGTAAAGTTCTATATTTATTAGGTGCCTAAATTGTTTAGGCATTTCTAATTTTCAACCCTATACTAGGAAAGATGCTGAATCACTTTAATTTCATGTAATATAGGCCATAAGAGTCAGCACTCCAAATCTAGAGCCAGCATTTTCCTTGCTACATTTACCTGACAGTAAACAACTGACCAATCATGAACAGAAAGCAAATCAAACACACACATGGCTTATGATAATCTTCATTCTGGGAGTCTGAGGTTACACAGATCTTCTTAAATCCCATTTCAGCCCCAAGAATGATATAAAATACCAGGTTTTCTGGGATGCTCTAAACATGTAGGTCTTTCTAGGCAGGGCTAACTGCTATCCAGTGCCACCATGAACAGATTATAATCCAAGCCCAGGGTAAAGATAACTCCAATATACCAAGAGGAGGCCCCATCTGGAGCCACACCAGATACTTTTTTAAGTCCCCACATTAAGCTGAACTGACACCAGTGAGCTTCTGCAGAAACAGGACCCACTTTTGCAGTGTGTATCAAGCCAAACTGACACAATTGTCATCTATACTTTTATATAGACAATGCAAAAAAGAAAAACAAAGTGAAATTAATATAGAAGTTCTAGTATAGTGCCAAGGAATGAAAAGTCTTTCTTGGAAATGAGCTCTATTGCTAAAATGCCACTCAATGTCTATTTATGCCATCTAGTACTTTTATCGCCTATCACTCAAGTACTTAAGCATTTAAGTGCAACATTAATTGTTTCTGGACTTTTATCCTCATATAGTTGACACATATCTCAAAGGCATATATGAAATAAAAAAAAATACCACCATGTACAAGAATTTTACTCCACAAAAATGCAGACCTAATTTTTATCTTATAATTTCACTTTTAAATCACTTATTTTCAATGCAAGTTTAAGTAGCAGGGTTTAGATACACCGATATCCACTATTAAAATCTATTACCCTACCTCGACAAATTTAATTCCTTTTCATCTTAATTTGGAGAAGAATAAGAAAACAGGAACTTTGTTTATTTGTTTGGAGAGGTATCTCTTCTAGCTGTCTATCTATCTATTCTATTCTAAGCAGTCATCTAAGGAAATACAACAGGTGGACTGTCTCATGTGCTCATGTGAAACATTTAGCAAATAATCAAATCTCTTTTCAAATTTAGTTCTTCTTTTCCATGGGCTTTAAAAGAAGTAATTAGGTTTTTTTTTTTTTTTTTTTTTTTTTTTTGCGGTATGCGGGCCTCTCACTGTTGTGGCTTCTCCCATTGCGGATCACAGGCTCCGGACGCGCAGGCTCAGCGGCCATGGCTCACGGGCCCAGCCTCTCCGCGGCATGTGGGATCTTCCCAGACTGGGGCACGAACCCGTGTCCCCTGCATCGGCAGGCGGACCCCCAACCACTGCGCCACCAGGGAAGCCCCAGTAATTAGGTTTTTAAACAATTTTTTTTAATGTTTACTGTGGATGTATGTTTGTAAGAAATGATTTGTTCCTTTTTTTTTTTTATTGGTACAATACACAGAGCTTATTTAGATTTCACCAGTTGTACATGCATTCATCCCATGTACTTCTGCCATCTGAAGTCATCACTTGGAGGCAACAATGGAAAATAGCAGTGTCAGAAGACCTGGGTTCTTCACTAGCAGTGTGAAGGTGGCTTGAATAAGCCACCTTAAACTATAAAGCGGGAACAATAGCTGGCCTAATACATAACAGCAAATTATTTCATTTATATAAAAATTGATTACTTGTTTTGAAATATTTTAAGAGATATGGGAAAAGAATCTTGACATTCTTTTCATAGGAAGGCTGGTGGTGAAAAGCACAGGCTTTATAGTCAGGAGTCCTGTGTTTCTTGCATTCTAGCTCTGTTGCTAATTGGAGGTGTGACCCTAGGCAAATTACTTAATCTCCATACTTTCAATTTCCTTGTATGCTTGAGACAATCCCACCTCAGAGGATTGTTGTAAGGATGAAATGAGGTAATTCAATAAGTGTTCATTCAACATATATTTATTTAGTAACCATTCTGCTTGGTGCAATACTGGTTAAAAATTCCTTTATTTTATATATATATATATATATATATATATATGCCATACTCTGTGCTAGACTCCAGAGATTAAAAAGAAGCTGAAGATACAGTAAAGCAACATTATGACAAAAAAATACTAATTTTACCCATGTACCTTCTTGGAAACAATCACAGGAATCTGATATGCTTTTGTGAGCTGTTACAAACAAATCTGCAAGACTGAATCCAAGTATACAATGTCAGGTCTGGATTCAGAAGATAATTCTGAACTAGTAGAAAACACATTTCAAGTTTAGCTGTTCACCAGTGGAATGTGTCTAACAGGATACACACAAGGTCACAAACAAGACAAAGATCAGAGTGATGGCATATACCATACAACACATAACCAGTATAGTGCCTGGCATAGGGTAAGTGCTCCTAAATATTGATCGAAAACAACTGAATTTGGGTCTCAACTCTGACACTTTCACACTGAGTGATTCTGGGTAAGTTATTAACTTTTCTAAGCCTTAGTTCTCTGTAAAATAGAAACGTGTCTGTTTTACCTGTCATAGGACAGTTGTGATCAAATGAAATCACATAAGAATGTATCTAGTGCTAATAAAACAGTAACTGTGACACACATGACTACTGCTACCAATTAGCTTACAAGCCTGCTTGTAGGGGTAAGACGTTAATATGTAAGCATCAGGAAAGGAGCACCACCAAGATCTACTGAAAACAAACAAAAACAACCCAGAACATATTTTCTAAAAATGTCATTTTCCTTGTGATAAAAAGATCTGGTCATTGTCAAACTGGTGCTGTGGCTTTTCTAACCCCCAGGTTACAGCTGCAGACTCTGCTGAGTGGCATCTTGCAAAGCGGAAGCTCTCAGTCCACGCAGGCGGCGGTGGGTTCGAATTTGAGGATCATCTTCATCCCAGGTCCTAATAAGGCACTACGGGTAAGGTGCCTTTGTAGTTAGCCAAGCAAGAAAACCACAGCGCGTAGCCACCTCCACCTTCCACAGGGAGAAGGGACAGCCCGCCTGCCCACCTCACTCGTCCCGGGACCCCCGCATCTCCCGCCAAGCCTTGCGCTCTCAGTCCTGCCTACTGGCACGTAGGCAAGCGCGGCAAGAGGCTTGGGAAGCGCGGCCGGGACCGTCTACTTACTCAATGGCCGCTTGGTGGGCGCCTGCTGTCCAGCTGGCCAAGACTCCGAACGCCGCGTCTCTCTAGCCTCTCGGGACTCGCCTTCCTTCTGAGCCCCAACCGCAGCTACAGCAGCCTCTCCAGGAACTGAGAAGCGACAGGGAGCTGACAGGGAAGCTGGGGAAGAGGACGAACCCTGGGCGGGGTGGCTGTTTGGACACGCCCCCGAACCCTCCCCGGCTCTTCCGCGCGTTGTTCCTAGAGGCGTAGAGGCGTGTACCCTGGAGGAGGTTAAGGACTTAGGGCCCCGCCCTTAACCCTCATTATCCTCTCGGCACCGCCCCTCCTCCTGCGGGCCCCCGCCTCTGACCGGGGGTGCTCCGCCCACTCTGGTCGCTGGGCGTGCACGCGCACTTGCTGGCCTGTTTTGACAGCTTCAGGCCGCCTGGAATGGGAGGGAGCAGGAGGTATCGCGAGAATTGGCCCCAAGCCTTGTGGGAGCAGTAATTATGGCGAGCTTAGGGGAAGAGGCTGAGCAGGAGCCGCTCTTAGGCCACAGCATACCCGGAAGCAGGTGAGCGGATGTTGGGGGAAGGCCTTCTGACCCTCCTGCGCTATTGGGACTGGTCCCTTTCCTTGCATCAGGCTTTGTGGGCCGAAGGAGGGGTGTCAGGGTGGCGGGAGCCGGCGGCAGGTTGCGCGAGACTTGGAGATGCGCTTTCATTTCCGCGGGGCGCCTAGAGCCGGCGGGTTCTGGTGAAGGTGTTGAAGAAACGCAAACTTCCTCTTGTACCTTTACACCAACACTGATGCAGCAACCAAGCCTCTGCATTTGGCCCTTTACAGAACTGATTATACGTTTCACACAGTTTTATTCGAGACTTGAAGATACCGATCTCAGTATTCACTTAACTAATTGCCTGATAACTTCTTGATACTTTTTTGCAAGTAAACCTAAGATAAGCTCCCATTTGTCCTATGTCAAATGTATAAATAAAGACTAATTTTTAAGCATTTAAGGGATGAAGTGTATTTTGACCCTTATTATACTGGTTATTTTGACCCTGGAATTGTTAGAGTTTGTTTCTTACTCTGCAGTTATGTATTTAAACCTTTAGGAAAATGAAGTTAAGTATTATTTTAAACATATATAACTATTACAGTAAATTAACTAAATTCACAGGTAAACTTCAGCTGTCAGTGACAGCTGTATATATGTGGAGATATGTTAGTCCCAACATCCCAATTCATCCCACTGCCCCCCCAACCATAAGTTTGTTCTCTACATCTGAGACTCTATTTCTGCTTTGCAAATAGGTTCATCTCTACCATTTTTCTATATTCCACATACAAGTGATATCATGATATTTTTCTCTTTTTACTTCACTCTGTATGACAATCTCTAGATCTGTCCACATCTCTTCAAGTGGTACTGCTTCCTTCTTTTTTATGGCTGAGTAATATTCCATTGTATATATGTCCCACATCTTCTTTATCCATTTCTCTGTCGATGGACATTGAGGTTGCTTCCGTGTCCTGTCTATTGTGAATAGTGCTGCAGTGAACATTGGGGTTCATGCATCCTTTCGAATTATGGTTTTCTCTGGATGTATGCCTAGGAGTGGGATTGCTGGATCATGTGGTAGCTCTATTTTTAGTTTTTTAAGGATCCTCCATACTGTTCTCCATAGGGGCTGTACCAATTTACATTCCCACCAACCGTATAGGAGGGTTCTCTTTTCTCTACACTCTCTCCAGCATTTATCATTTGTAGAATTTTTGTTGATGGCCATTCTGACCAGTGTGAGGTGATACCTCATTGTAGTTTTGATTTGCATTTCTCTAATAATTAATGATGTTGAGCATCTTTTCATGTATTTGTTGCCCATCTGTATGTTTTCTTTGGAGAAAGGTCTGTTTAGATCTTCTGCCCAGGTTTTGATTGGGTTGTTTGTGGGTTTTTTTTGATATTGAGCTGCATGTGCAGTTGGTATATTTTGGAGATTATTCCCTTGTCAGTTGCTTCGTTTACAAATATTTTCTACTATTCTGAGGGTTGTCTTTTCGTTTTGTTTATGGTTTCTTTTGTTGTGCAAAAGCTTTTAAGTTTAATTAGGTCTCATTTGTTTATTTTTGTTTTTATTTTCATTACTCTAGGAGATGGTAGAAAAAGATCTTGCTGTGATTTATGTCAGAGAGTATTCTGCCTATATTTTCCTCTAAGAGTTTTATACAGTAGTATCCAACCTTACATTTAGGTCCTTAATCCTTTGAGTTTATTTCTGTGTATGAGCACCAAACCTTTTTTAAAAATCACTTTGTTTGAAACCCTTTGGAAAATGTATTTGTCAGGTCCCTGATTTACTAAATGGAATATATGGAATGTAATTTTGTTTACATTTTATCTTGAGATCATTAAAATGAATGTCACTGCTGAAATATATTGTGTAGAGTGACATCCTCCAGGCCTAATAAGGCATTTGGGACTATGTGCTGCTATACTGATTTGTTCTACAGTGCTATACTTTTCACATCTCTTTTTCATTTTTCAGCCTATTCTGTTTCTGGCAGACTATTCCTCATCATGTTTTTGTTATCTGTTGGCAACCTCTGTTTTTGTTGCTGTCTGCAAACTTCTCCCAACTTTTCTTTGGGACTTCTAGTTTGCTGTGGCTTTGAAAATCATGTATCTAAGCTTAATAGAATTGTAGGGAGTTAGAACATGGAAGCTCTGACTGAAAGCTAAAGATCTCTCGTATTAATCAAGTGCATGAGCTTGAGTACAAGGATTTTGTGATTTTTGGATTTCTCAGCATTGTTTTTGCTTCCTCCTAATTCTTGGTTGTTTTCCAGATAGATTTCAGGATCCTTGAGTTATGGTTAGATGTATTCTTACGGTACATTCTGTCACTTTGTCCAAATAAACCTACTTTAAAAGGGGATTTTTTTTTCTTTCTCTTTTGTTCAAGTAATTGATGCTCATTAGGGTCCATTTAAATTCAGATGTTCTGCCTATCTGAATTTAATTTCTAGATTTAGCATTTTTAAAATAAAAAGGGAGTATTTTGAGAATAATTCAATAAGTGTACTGTCTTTAAAAACGTAGATTCCCTAGTAAAGGGAACGTATGTAAAACTAACTGGCAAGCCCTGTTCACTTTGAGTAAATTGCAAAAACATGAGTCTAGTTCACCACCAACCTCAGCCTTTCATCAAGTCCTCAGGAATCCCCACTGACCCTATCCATAGAATTTAAGAGACCAGGGTTGGCAGACTTGTCCTGTAAAGGCCCATATGGTAAATATTTTAGGCTTTGCAGGCCAGGAGGCAAAATCAAAGTTATTATATAGGTACTTAGATAACAAGAAAGAAAATAAATTTCCACAAAATTTTGTAGTAATGAAATTTAAAATGTAATAATAAATGAGTACAATTTTTTGTAATACAAGTCTAATAATGAATATTATTGTTCATTGTCAATGTTATTGTCAAAGTTAATGTTTTCTGTCATGAAATTGATCACAAATATTCAACTGTAAAAACCATTCTTAGCTCATGGGCTACACAAAACCATGTGATAGGCCAGATTTGGCCTATTAGACTGTAGTTTGCTGATCCCTCTCTTAGAATATCCTAAAGTATTATAGGTGCTTAAAATTTTTCTTTGCAATGTTAGCCTAGTCTCTGTAAAACAAATATTACTAGAACTTATGGTTGTATACAAGATACTTTTATAGAACATTCTCAATTTATTTCTGTCTTTTAATTTCTGTAACTTTTATACCATTACACTATTTTGTCAGTGACCACACACTGCTTTCTCTTATCCTCTTTCAGTATGGGTTCTTTTTTGCTGTTCAGTAGTTCACAGATGCTCTCTCTGGTAAAAGTACAATTTTATTTTTCCCCTCAGTAAATCCATGTGTATTCCTCGTAGTTTTTTTTTTTTTTTTTTCCTCGTAGTTTTTGAGTCGCAACTTTGATAAACATGCTATCATTTAAAAAAAATTATTATTTATTTGTTTATTTTATTTTTGGCTGTGTTGGGTCTTCGTTTCTGTGCGAGGGCTTTCTCTAGTTGTGGCAAGTGGGGGCCACTCTTCATCGCGGTGAGCGGGCCTCTCACTGTCGTGGCCTCTCTTGTTGCGGAGCACAGGCTCCAGACGCGCAGGCTCAGTAGTTGTGGCTCACGGGCCTAGTTGCTCCGCGGCATGTGGGAACTTCCCAGACCAGGGCTCGAACCCGTGTCCCCTGCATTAGCAGGCAGATTCTCAACCACTGCGCCACCAGGGAAGCCCCATGCTATCATTTGAGGTATAGTTTGTAATGAAAATTTGGGACAGGACAAAACCCTTTAATTTAGCATTGCAACTTTACTTGAAGGATAATCTCAAATGGAGAACTAATACCAGAATACAGCAATGATAATAGAAAGGAATCAAAAAGTTAAACAAATCACGTTGGAATGTAATAAAAATGGTAACTTGATTGAAGGACAGTTATATTCTCCTATGTTCCTACTATCTCCAACAAGGAAGAAAGATACATTTCTTCACCAAAGTTATACTTTTTTTTTAATTTTTATTTTTTTTTTGGCTGTGTTGGATCTTCATTGCTGCGCATGGGCTTTCTCTAGTTGTGGAGAGGGTGGGCTACTCTTCATTGCAGTGTGCAGGCTTCTTGTTGCAGTGGCTTCTCTTGTTGCAGAGCACGGGCTCTAGGCACATGGGCTTCAGTAATTGCAGCATACAGGCTCAGTAGTTGTGGCACACGGGCTTAGTTGCTCCACGGCATGTGGGATCTTCCTGGGCCAGGGATCGAACCTGTGTCCCCTTCATTGGCAGGCAGATTCTTAACCACTGCACCACCAGGGAAATCCCAGTTATACTTTTTGAATTAAAAAGAAGGAAAAGTAGGCTTCCCTGGTGGTGCAGTGGTTAAGAATCCTCCTGCCAATGCAGGGGACACAAGTTCGATCCCTGGCCCGGGAAGATCCCACATGCCGTGGAGCAACTAAGCCTGTGTGCCACAACTACTGAGCCCATGTGCCACAACTACTGAAGCCTGCGTGCCTAGAGCCCGTGCTCCGCAACAAGAGAAGCCACGACAATGAGAAGCCCGTGCACTGCAACAAAGAGTAGCCCCCCCCACCGCAACTAGAGAAAGCCCGCACACAGCAACGAAGACCCAACACAGCCAAAAATAAATAAATACAGAAATAGATAAATAAATTTATTTAAAAAAGAAGGAAAAGTAAAAGTTTTATTTTGAAACATTTTAAATCCATAGAAAAATTGAAAATACAGTGCAATAAATACCTGATTACCCTGTCATTGTTAGCCTTTTCCACACTGCTCAAATCTTTCTATACACACACACACACATACACACACACAACCACCCCTCTTTTGCCAGACTACCCAAAAGTAGGTTGCAGACATTATGGCACTTTATCCTAAACATTTTAGTCTGCAGCCTCCATCTCCCCAAAACATAGACATTCTTTTACACAGCTATGTCACTGTTACCAGAGCTAGAAATACACTACTAATTCAAAATATCAGGTACTATACAGTCTATACTCATATTTCTCCAGTTGTTCCAAAAATGTACTCTACAGCTATGCTTTTTTAAACAGGATCTGATTAATGTTCAAGCATTGATCCTTATGTCTTTTTAGACTCCTCCAACCTAAAACTATCCCCTGACCTTCTCTTTTGTTCTTACTAACATTGAATCCTCTGATAAGTCTAGATTAGTTTTCTGTTTTCTTTGGAACATCTCACGTTCTGAATTTGTGGACCATTTCTGGGTAGATCCTGGTCAAACATTTCTGGCAAGAAAATCCCATGGCTTATGTTGAGAACATCCCAGTGTATTCTGTCAGGAGGCATTGGATGCCAGGCCATCCCACTGTTGGGGATGCCACGCTTGACTTGGTTAAGAGGTTGACTGTTATATCTCTCAATTATAAAGGCTCATTTTCCATTTTCTGATTAGTGGATCTACAAAAGAGTGATACTTTGAGGACTTTTGACCTTCCAACCAGTTATTTTAGGATTCACTGATGATCTTTGCTTTCATCCATTATTACATGGAGAGTAAATGGTGATTTTCTATCATCCCTTCAATATTTAATAGCTGTCATTAAAAGAAGAAAGATTTTTGACTGACCTTCAAGTCAAAGTCACTCAAACAATTTTATTACATTTTTTTTCAGAATCAGATTATTTACTTCATTTAGTTCCATAACTTAGATAAGATATGAGCAAATTGGTTATTTGAAAATGTTCAGGCTTATTTTAGTGATAGTCCTTATTCATGATTATCAGTTAGATTTCTGATCTCCAGAAAATAATAATGAGTTCATTAAAACTGTAATAGTAACCCAGTACTTTAAAGTGATACCAGAATTCAGTGCTGTGGGATTGAATGGTTTATACCTTTTTCTCATATGTAATAATAGCAAGTCCCCTACATACGAACAAGTTCCATTCTGAGATCACATTCGTAAGTCCCTAGGTACCCAATAACACAATCGGCTATGTAGTACTGTACTGAAATAGGTTTATAATACTTTTCACACAAATAATACATAAAAACACAACAAAAAATAAAGAAAACATGTTTAATCTTATAGTACAGGACCTTTGAAGGTACAGTGGTACAGTACAACAGCTGGCATACAGGGACTGGCATCGAGTGAGCAGGCAAGAAGAGTTACTGACTGGAGGAGGGAGAGGAGGTGGGAGATGGCAGAGCTGAAGGATCGATAGCAATAGGAGACGGAGGGCAAGCTGCAATTTCAGTCATGCATGACATTGATGGCACAGGTTCTGGTTCCTTGCTGGATTCAATTCTATCTACCCCCTTGAAAAAAACGATCCAATGATGTTCGGGTAGTAGCTCTTTTTTTCTCATCATGGATGACACGGTAGCACTGGATTGCATTCTGAACAGCTGCTGCAACCTTCATGTAATGTTCTACGTTCAGGTCCTGTGCCTCACAAACTAACAGTGCCTCCTCAAATAAAGAGAATCCCCTTGCCATTTCCTGCTACATGAATCTCTGGTTCTTCAGTTACTTCTCCCTCCTCTTGTCTCTCTTTGTCCTTTCTCTGGGTCTCCAGTTTCATCAGGTCTTCATTAGTAAGCTTCTCGTGTTGCACAGCAAGGAGTTCAATGAAGTCGTCCTCTTGCAGATCTAGCTCTGGCTTCTCGCTGAGGGTCACTAAGTTGCTGAAGACCTCTTTGGACTCCTTCTCAAATCCATGAAAATCGTGAACAAACTGCAGGCAAAGTTTCTTCCAAACCTCATTGATGGTGACGGCCATAACCTCACGCCAAGCAGTCAATGTTTTTTGTGGCCTTGTAGATGTTATAGTCCTTCCAAAACTGTTGCAGGCTTGTTCCTGATTCTTCAGTTACCTTTACTGCTTGACTAAAAGTGTAACGTGAATAATATTTCTTGAAAGTGGCTGTAACTCCCTGGTCCATAAGTTGGATGAGGGACATAGTACTTGGTGGCAGATGTGCTACTTTGATGTTGGGATGAAAGTCGTTCATGAATGGGGGGTGGTCTGGAGCACTATCGAGCAGCAAAAGAATGTTGAATGGGATGTCCTTCTCCAAGCAATATTTCTCTACCTCTGGGATAAAGTGGTGGAAAAACCAGTCCTGCAAAGTGGCCTGTGTAACCCAGGCTTTGGGGTTACTCTTCCACACAACAGGAAGAGAGCCCTTGGCTATGTTTTTAAGGGCTCTTGGGTTCTCTGAATGATAAACTAAGAGAGGCTTCAGCTTCATATCGCCAGAAGCATTGCCACCAGACAACAGAGTTAGCTTATCCTTTGCTGCTCTATAGCCTGCCATTGACTTTTCCTCCTTACTGATGTAACTTCGGTCTGGCATCCTCTTCCGGTACAGTCCTGTCGCATCCACAATAAGAACCTGCTTGGGTGAGTACGTGCCTTCATCAATAATTTCTCAAAGCGTTTCAGGAAATTCCCAGGCAGCTACCGTATCTGCACTTGCTGCCTCGCCACTTACTTTTACGTTGTGAAGGTTGGCTGTAGCATTGAACTGATGAAACCAGCCATGGCTGGCATTAAAAGATGCGAGCTTTGATTCTCCACCGTGTTTCTTCTTCAAGTCTTCATAAAGTCTTTTGGCTTCCACTTGAATCAGCATTAATCTGAGTTGGCCTCAACACTGATACTGATCCTGCATCTACACCCTGAGAACTTTCTCCATCTCCATCATTTTTCCACACTTTTTGATATTATTGTCGACATCACTGGCACATCAGACTTCATGTATTCCATGATCTTGTCCACTTTCTTAGAATCGTGCTGATGGTTGAATGATTCATGTTATAAGAATGAGCGACGTCAACCATCCTTTTGCCTCGCTCCACTCTCTCAATTATTTTCAGTTCTGTTTCTATCGTTATCACTTGGCACTTCTTAGCGGTACCAGACACATCACCACTGCTTTTACGCTTGCTTCCGGACATCCTGGGCTTGAAATAAAGATACTGTATTACTGTACTCTATACAGTACTGTACAGTAAAGTACACAAAAGCACAACCACTTTTAGAGGATGCACACATGTGACAATATTTGCCAGATACGTGAACTAACTTATATGATTGGACATGCGAACGCATGTTTGCATCTTTGAAAGTTTGCAACTTGAAGGTTCGTATGTAGGGGACTTCCTGTATCTGCATTATGTATTCCAAATTTCAGTATATTGATTTGCAAATATGAGCATCTGGGGTTCTGCTATTTTTCAGGTATGCGACATTACAGTCTATTTTTGTGGAACAGCATATACAGTGTTAAGCACTTCATATGTATTATATCAGGAACTGATATATCTGGCACATAATAGATCTAATAAATGTTATTTCTCTTCTTCATTCCCTCTCTAACATTCCCAGTCACATCACATTTAAAAAAAATATAGTTTCTTTTTTGAAGACTAACAGTTCTATTTTAGAAAATAATGTTGGAACATAAGATGGCATTTTGTCTGTTGTGCTTGTTTTAATTATTTGAAAACACAATGCTTATATTAGGGTAAATTTGTTAACTCTTTTTGTGTGCATATGTGAAAATGTAATGGGTACACATGCTAATGTTATCACCTGACAGAGGTAGGCTACGTGGTTAACATACTTGTCCTTAATCCAGGTCAAGGGTGATAATGGAAGGTCAACCCAGTCTGGAGGGGCCTTGGTCTCTCTTTGGTCCACTAACAGAGCTTGTCTGGTAACCTGTGTTGGAGCAAAGGCAAATGTTTCAGGAGGTTCCAGGGCTACGAATGTCTTAAGTCACATCAAACCTTCCTGATGTCACTTTTATATTAATTTTGCTGAAAGTACCCAACTAAAATAGCTTCCTACAGCAAAGTTAATTTGCTGTCATCAAGTAGAGCATGTCATAATGATGATAGTTATTATCGTTTAATAGTTACTAGTTGTATATCCTACCTATAGGAGATCTAATGGTTGTAGCTAGTTTATTTTATTTATTTTGATATACTTTATTCATTTTGTCAGTTTAGCAAATTTAAACATGCTTGATTCATAAGTTTATAGCATGCCAACAATAGCAAAATAATTGGTTCACAAAATGTTTTGCCTTTTTAAGCTGCCTCATGTCTCCCAACTTTTCTATGCACAGTGATCCATAAATATAACCCATGGAAGTTAAAAGGTATAATACTTATTTATAGATGAATTAGTATAGTAAAAACCAATATTAGTAAATTATACCTCTATCATATAATTTTCTTGACTTTAGGAGAGAGAAAATAAAATTATGTCACAGAAAGATTTGCATGTACTGAGATAACTTTATACTACTTTTTTCTTCTTTATACCTAGAGAATGGGATATTATAGAAACTGAGGAGCATTATAAGAGCCGATGGAGATCTATTAGGATTCTGTATCTTACTATGTTTCTTAGCAGTGTAGGTAAGTATTAGAAATTATACATAATTTAAAAAATTTAGATAAAATATCATATTTTAATGTCATTTAATTAAAAATTATTTTTTTTATTATGGTAAAAACCACATAACATAAAATGTACCGTCTTAACCATTTCTAAGATCAGAGGTGTTAAATATCTCTACATGGTTGTATAACCAATCTCCAGAACTTTTTTATCTTGCAAACTTGAAACTCTATACCCATTAAACAACAAGTCATTTCCCCTTCCCTCAGCCACCATTAACCATCATTTTGCTTTCTGTTTCTATGAACTTGACTACTCTAGATAGTTCATATAAATGAAATCATACAGTATTTTTAATTTTGTGATTAGTTTATTTCATTTAGCATAATGTCCTCAAGGTTCATCCATGTTGTAGCATGTGTCAGAATTTCCTTCCTTTGTAAGGCTGAATAATAGTCTGTTGTATAAATTCTAGGAGAGGGAAAACTTTTCGTTTACTTTCTTATATTTTATAGCTAAGAAAGTAAAGGAAAGGTTTTTAATTTGGGGCCTGCAAATTAAACTGACAAAAGGCAGATCAACAGAAGAAAAGCATAAAAATTTATTTGATGTAAATATTTTTATGTGAGATATGGGGCTTTAGAGAAAAGTGAAAACCCCAAAGAAAGGGTTAGACTCAGGGACTTATATACTATTATAACAAGGGTCTCTAATTGTGGAGAGGTGACTAGACAAAGAAAAGGGGTTGGCTTTCTAGGGATGGTAAATTGTGGGAAAGTGACTAGGAAATACATGGGGGAAACTAATGGAGGATGAGGGTTATTTGAGTAAGGTTTGTTTGTGCAGACTCATCTCAGCATTGATGCTCCATCTGCAGTGATACGAATGTTTTCTTCTTCCTGGTACTGGAAGAGCACATTTCTCAGGGGAAATTTATGCCCAGTTTTTAGGCAGAAAGGGGGAAGACAGAAAGCCCTTCTGTGTCTGCTGTTTGTTAGTTGCCTTCAGCTCAAAATAATCAATATGTTAAAGCAGCATATTTTTGGGGTAGCATGTTCTGATCCTCTTCAGTATATACCACATTTTGTTTATCCATTTATCTGTTGATGAACATTTGGGTTGATTCCATATCTTGTTTCTTACAAATAGCTGCTGTGAACATGGGTGTGCAAATATGTCTTTAACATCCTGCTTTCAGTTCTTTTGGGTATATATCCAGAAGTGGAATTGCTATATCATATGATAATTCTATTTTTAATTTTTTGAGGAACTGCTATACTTTTTTCCATAGCTGCTGCTGCATTTTACATTCTAATCAACAGTCAGGGTTCAGATTTTTCCACATCCTCACCAACTCTTATTTTATGTTTATTTGACGTTAGTCATTCTAATGGGGTAGTAGCTTATTGTGACTTTGGTTTGTATCTCCTTGTACTCACGTTAGGCATCTTTTCACGTGCATATTGACCATCTGTATATCTTCTTTGGAGAAATGTCTGTTCAAGTCGTTTGCCCATTTTTTAAATAGGGTTGCTTTTTGTTGTTGAGTTGTAGGAGTTCTTTATATATTCTGAATATTAATCCCTGATCAGATATGTGATTTGAAAATATTTTCAACCATTCCATGACTCTTTTTTTCACTCTGCTGATTGTGCCCTTTGATTCACATAAGTTTTAAATTAGTTTTTTTTTTTGCGGTACGTGGGCCTCTCACTGTTGTGGCCTCTCCCGTTGCGGAGCACAGGCTCCGGACGCGCAGGCTCAGCGGCCGTGGCTCATGGGCCCAGCTGCTCCGCGGCATGTGGGATCTTCCCGGACCTGGGCGCAAACCCATGTCCCCTGCATCAGCAGGTGGACTCTCAACCACTGCGCCACCAGGGAAGCCCCAGAAGTTTTAAAGTTTGATGTAGTTTAATGTATTTGCTTTTTACTTTTGTTGCCTGTGAACCTCATTTAACTTTTATATTGACACATACCAATAGTAAAGTCCAAGAATATTAATCTGTATAGCTTGATTATTTTTAACCTATTAACATTATTTCTGAAAATATATTTACTGAAAAAGTTAACCTTTATTAGAAAAAAATTTTAATATTAAGAACTGTAATTATGTTAAAAATGGTAAGGAATGAAAATATATAGGAATTCTCAATACTGTGATAGTTTATAAAGGAATGTTTTAGGGAATCAATTTTTTTTCCAAGCGTGGACTCTAAGTCCATAGGCAATAATTTTACAAATGGTTTTTTCCCCTGAGATGGATTTAGTGAAGGTCATTTGACTAAGTTGTTTTCCATATCCTTTCCATTTATCCCAGGTCACCCTCTTGTTCTCTCTCTCTTGCCAGTCTTCTTTATGATTCAACATTGAGCAAAAATAGACTTTAAATAAAGCTAAAACTAAAGAAAAGTACAAAATAAAGGATATTTTCAACAGTTTTTTGGATTGTATATCTATTATTATGCTTTCCACAAATATCAGGAAAAAATGTTGATTCAAATTGGCTTGAACAGTAATTTGTATTTTCTTATAAGATATCCATATTGGGACAACTCCAGGTGAAGTTCACTGGCTCTGCTTCTGAATAAGGTTTTTGGTTTTGCTCTCTTCTGCATATTGCCTTCATTCTTAGGCTATAGGAGGGATGCAGCAGCAGTTCCACGTGTCACATCCTTCCACAGTAATTTTTATTGATTGAAAGGGACTTATTTTTTAAACCTCCAAAGAGATGAGGAGTCCTTTCTTGGAGGTCCCAAAGTAGACCTCCCCTTATTTCTCACTGGTCAGAATTGAATTACCTGTTAATTTCTAAACCCATCATCAGCTGGGATAGTGAGATCTAATCAGGATCTACCCTCTGGATTTGGGGTGGACACAGTGTCCTCTAAAGCCTGTGGCTTTGTGGAGGAGTGATGGATACCTCAATACAACCAGGATTCTATCAGAGAGGAGGAAGGGGGCAAATGAATGTTGTGTAGGTAACAATCTCTGCAACAGATTGTTTTTTTATTTAAAGCATTTCTAATTTTTGTACTCATTTATCTAAAATATAAGTAATAATTTCAAATTTAACAGCAAAAAATTTTTTAACTTTTAATCGGCATGTGAAACATTTTACCTGTTTACAAGTTTCTTGATTGTGAGATAGTAGTCTTATTTTCAAATATTAGTTGATTCTTTTCATCAAGTCAATGTGTTAATTCAAAATACACTAAGATGAAACTAATAATTATATTATTTTTTAAAACAGACTTTTAAAAAGGAATGTAGTACTGATACTGCTACAACATAGATGAACCTTGAAAGCATTATGCAAAGAAAGAAGCCAGACACAAAAGACCACATATTGTGTGGTTCTATTCATATGAAAGTCCAGAATAGGAAAATCTATAGAGACAGAAAGCAGATTAGTGGTTGCTTAGGGCTGTTGGGGAAATGATAGAGGATAGAGGATAGAAGAGTATAGCTAAAGGGTTCAGGGTTTCTTTTTGAGGTGACTAAAATATTCTAAAATTGACTGTAGTCATGGTTGCACATATCTGACATGCTAAGAACCATTGAATTGTACACTTTAAATGGGTGAATTCATTGTGAATTATATCTTAATAGAGCTGTTTTTTTTAAATAGCCTTGATAGAATTGTGATTGGATGTGCCTAATATTTAAAATTGACAAATAACATTGGAGTTTATCATTACAGTTCTCAAGCTATAAAAGCTAGCAGAGATAATTTTCTTTTAAGGTATGCCCATCTTGAGAAATTCTGTTTCTTTATAGCCACTGCCCCCTTTAAAGTTCATTTTCCTTCTTCTTAGTCCTCCCTACAGTGAATTATCTCTCCCAAACAACACAGATTAGAAGTCTAGCAATTCCTCTATAACAAAGTAGCCTTACCTCCATTCATTTCTGCTATAAAAACTTAACAAAGCTCTCAGTAATTTTCTTTTCTTTTTTTTTTTAAAATAAATTTATTTATTTTTGGCTGCGTTGGTTCTTTGTTGCTGTGCGTGGGTTTTCTCTAGTTGTGGTGAGCAGGGGCTACTCTCCGTTGCAGTGCATGGGCTTCTCATTGCGGTGGCTTCTCTTGCTGTGGAGCACGGGCTCTAGGTGCACAGGCTTCAGTAGTTGTGGCATGCGGGCTCAGTAGTTGTGACTCATGGGCTCTAGAGCGCAGGCTCAGTAGTTGTGGCGCACGGGCTTAGTTGCTCCATGGCATGTGGGATCATTCCAGACCAGGACTCGAACCCGTGTCCCCTGCATTGGCAGGCAGATTCTTAACCACTCTGGCACCAGGGAAGTTCCAGTAATTTTCATTTACAGTAAAGACACGTGAATAAGGAGAAATAGGTCCTCTGCTTTTATTATGTTAATTGTGGTGAGGGACTATAATTATATATGTTTTCCAGCCTTTAATATTTATTTTCCTTCTGATAAATAAAACCCCACTGCTTAATAAATTAGACATTTGTGATCGTAAATTTGTAAATTCAGAATGATGTTTTAAAATCCATGCTATAGTTCAAAAATTTCTATCTATAGTGATGAAATTATTATAAGTATAAATAACAGAATTTGCCTCTTCACAGGATTTTCTATTGTGATAATGTCAATATGGCCATATCTCCAAAAGGTTTGTGCACTTTATTCGTCTCTTATGTAGCTGTAGTAGTAATAACTCTTATGTAGTTAAGAGTTTTCTAGAGAGTCTCTTTGGTATTCTGAGTTAATCTTTACTAAAATAAATTGAGATAATCTTCAAAAGAGGCTTATAAGTAAGGTGACTGTATGCTTTATTGTGCAAACCAGAGCACTCTTGAAGTGAAAAGAGTGCTTTAGCAGGAAAATAGGTTTATATCCAGACAATTGCAGGCAAATGTAGATGTATGGTCACCTACTTATTAGCCACTTTCCCATCCCATCCATACCCCTTCCCTAATAAAAAGGAAACTAAGCTAGACATAGTCTGAATTCCTATAATGTATAAATGATATTGCTATGGAATAAATTGATGCTTTCTGATTGAATTAATTTGGGTTGTCAGGTGACATTGTGAAAAGAATAGACAATATATGTATTTTGATGCTGTGGTTACTACATGGGAAGGAGGGAGTGAAAAGAACATGCAAGTTTGGTGGGTACTCTGACATCATTTGATCATCAGTTGATGATCAAGTCCTGTCAGTTCTACCTTTTTAAAAAATATATTTGACATATAACTGTCAGTTCTGTCTTAAAATTCCAGTAATGAATTTATTAAAAATCAGTATTTAAGGTGGAGACATAATTAATCTATAATAATATTTCAGTTAAGGTTCTTGAAGGAGTTCCTCTGTGCTTCCTAACTCCTCTTCGCTCCTTAACCTGCTACAATCTGATTAACTCCTCTGCTACCCTGCAGCTGCTCTTGATGAGGTCTCCAATGACTTAATTGCTCACCAAATAGTAGATACTTTTCAGTCCTTACTTTAGGTGACATTTGGGTAGTGTTTGACATTGTTGTCCTCTCTTTGCTTCTTGAAACTCTCTTAGCTTCCATGACATTACTCTTAACTCTTTATTCTTAAATTATTTTGTGTATTTTTCTTTATCAATTTGCCCCTTATATTTTGGTTTTCTCCAGAGGAGAGAGAGGGAGAGAGAGGGAGAGAGAGAGAGAGAGGGAGAGAGAGAGAGAGAGAGAGAGTGTGTGTGTGTGTGTGTGTGTGTTTCAGCCTAGATCCTGAGCCTTGGCCAATATTAGATCTATAGCCAGTAATTTATTATATCATGTACTTGGATGAACCTAAGTTCCTCAGATCTTTACACTTTTTCCTCCTTTTTTTTTCTAGAGTGCTTTCCTTCCCTCCATCTCTCCTTTCCTCTGCCATTCCCTTACTCCCTTCTTCTCCACTATTTTTTATTAATTCTTCAAGGCTTTGCTCCAATGTCACCTCCTCTGAAAAGCCTTTTCTTACGGTCCCTCACCCAGTTTGCATTAGAAGGTTTTCCTGTGTGCTTCCATATCCCTTTATCATTAATACTTATCACTGAGTGTTGTAACAGTGTGTTACAGAGATTTTACCTAACTTCTCTACAAAATTGTTAGAATGGTTAGATGGCTTCAACAAAAATAGTAGACACATTTGATGAATATTTAGGGTTTAAAAATTATACCTATTATATAAGAAAGTTATTGACATCTTATATTTCATTTTAGATTTTTTAGTTTTTATAATTTTTAACTTAAAAATACTATTTTCTTATGCTATCTTTTAAAAGAAATATAGGGAAAAATACACATTTTACTTTTTAGTGATTTAGTGCCACATTTTCACTGCCATTTTGAAAATTAATTTAAACTAATTAAAAAGTTATTTTACATGAAATCGTTACTCATGACACTAAAAATTCTTTCCATACTGGCAGAATTATTAGAATTGGAACAGAATATTTAACAATTCTGGAGCAATATCTTCTGTGCTAAAATATGTATTTCCATGTATCAAAACTCTTGATTTCTATGGTCCCTGTATCTAGTTTGTTTAACCTCAAAATTCTCAAAAGAAAGGTATTTACAAAATTAGGTCTACTCAGCATAATAAGTTGAATTTTGAAAAGGTACACTCCTTTCTCCAGATATTTGTAATCTCTTCAAAGGTAAATTTATTGAGAGCACATGAACATATCACTAGTTCTTGGCAATACAAGCATAACATTTTCACCAAAAACCTTGTGAGTTAATTTTCTCAAGTTATCTAATAATAATATTATCTCATTGTGTGCCAGGCACAATACTAAATCTTTCATCTAAATCATCTTTTGATCTTCATAACAACTCTGTGAGGTGGTCATTATCACTCCTGTTTAACAGATAAAGAAACTCAGACTAGAGAAAGTTAAGTAGCTTGCCCAAGATCACACAGCTAGAAAATGGTAGAATCAAGCTTATCTGAAACCAAAATCTGACTCTACAGTGCTATGTTACCTACTGTCTTAAGATTTTTCATTCTTTTTTTTAAATGTTATTTGTTTGTTTATTTTATTGAATTACAATGTTTCAGGTGTATAGCAAAGTGATTCAGTTACACACACACACACACACACACACACACACACACACACATTCTTTTTCCAATTCTTTTCCATTATAGGTTTTTACAAGCTACTGAATATAGTTCCCTGTGCTATACAGTAGGTCATTGCTGTTTATCAAAATTTTCATTTTTAATTTAAGGCTACTATCTCTTTTATGATAATATGTTACCAAATATTACTTAGCTTAAAAGTCATCTGTGAGAAAGATAAAAAGCTAGGCCAAAACCACCCCTCTAAAACTCCCAAACAGTAAGTTATCTGTCTGAAAGGAATTTGGCACTGCTGTGAATCTCTGACTTGTGCTTCTGGCCCTGGCTGATAGATAGCTATCAGCCCAGTGATTCTGTAGCCTGTGTTGCCCAGAGTTGTGATTGATTTCCAGGAAAACTCATACTCTTAAACCCAGATTTTGAATTGGAATGATAGGTTATCTATAGGCCCAGGGACATAGTGGGACTACTCATGCATGTTACAATAAAATATAATAATAAAACTGACATATCAGTAAAAACAAAATACCAAGAAATATTAATTTTTTATGTATAGGTAACATTCATTTAGTGCATACTATAGGCAGACATGACCCTAGGCACTATACATGTCTTGGCTTAAATAATTCTCATAACAACTCTGTGAAGTTACCCCCATTTGACAGATAAAGAATTAAAGCATGCTGGGTTTTTTCCTCAGCTGCTCAAAAATGTAGGATTTTTCAGAATCAGTTAAGTAGAACCTGGTTTGGAAACTCCTTGATGGCAAGAACTGTGTTTATTCAATTTGTATTCATATAGCCTCACACAGGTTTTGTTGCAGAGAAGGCCTTGGTAACTGTTAATTGGATGAATAAGCAATAATCTATAAGTAAATAGTTGAGGAGGCTTGGAACACATCTCAGCTCCCATAGCGAAGCATTAAGAGTTCTAGAACTTTGACTTTGTCAATATTATTAACATGTTTAGAGAAGAATGTTTTGAAATTCAGTACTACGCACTGTGGGCTTTTTTTTTAAGGGAAGAGACGGATCTAACTTTCACTGAAGTGTGCAAAACCAAACAAGTTTACAGATAATTACCATACGATATGAGTGGGTAAAAGTCTAAGAGCATGATGTGTGAGTGTGTGTGCGTGTTCACAGGGGAGAGAGAGCTAGAGGGAGAGGGAGAGAGGCAGAGAGGCAGAGAGAGACAGAAGGAGTGGGGGCTGGGGGAGAGAGAGACATACACACAGACTGACACAGACAGACAGACATGGGGGTTAGGGAGATGTTGCTGATCCAGACTAAAGAGATCCTGGAAGATTTCCCAAAAGCAGTTATATCTGAGCTGAGTTTGGAAGGCCTACAGAAACTGGTCACCAGAAGGGGCAGTCTGGGCCACAAATTCCTATCAGGAAAGCAGGTGGAGATGGAAGGGGCAGTAGAGGATCCTGTGCAAAGACCTGGAAGCAAAGAGCTTGACTCATTTTGGAAACTTCAAAAAGCTCTGTGTGGCTGGAAGTTAGAACTGGGGGGAGGGAGCATGCAGAGAGATGAAGTTAGAGAGGAGAGAAGTGACCAGCTTGTGAGCTAGTTTTACATAATAAGTAGTTTAGGCTTTATCCTGAAAACAATATGATAATCGAGATCATTAGAGGTGGCCAGAGGATTGGAAACAACATGCTGTTATTACTATAAGAGAGAGAGAAACACACAGGAGCACAGATAACAGTTCAATTACTGAACTGATACCTTCTGTTGTAGTATAGAACCTGTATCTTCCAAACCATTTTACTTTCCTGTTACAATTCTAGCAGAATTCTAGCAGATTCCAGTTTTCCAGTCATTGTATAGAATAGTATCCAATAAAAATAGCAAATGTTATTAAAATTGTTAGAGGCATCTTCAAAAGTCAGCTCACTTCTGTCCATGAAACGGACACTTGACTATTATGATCAATTGATATCCTGAGGAGACACTTTTATCCTTTTGCTTTCAAACCACTAGACATTTAATATTAAAATTGTTTTCATTGCTTTTTTGAAAATTAATTTTTAAATTTATATGACATGAAGTCATTATACTTATTCACTCTTATTTCTCATCCCACACAAACAGAAATGTACCTAAATATCTTCATTTTAAGCTTTAAAAAAATATCTTTGGAAGAGAAAAGGCCATGGTTTTCCTTATTAAGTTCTACCACTTAACCTATATATGTTTAAACTTATGTCCTAAAATTTAATGGCTCTTATTTTTCCAAATTATTATATAACCTACCATATTTTTTTTTTTTTGGGGGGGGGG